TCCTTCCCCCTCCCTCCCCCCCACCACCTGCTTCTCTGCTTCCAGATATCCTAGATGAGCCATGGGAGGTCCTGGCTACACAGCCATTCTGTCTGAGAGAGTCTGAGCCCTCTGAGACCCGTGCATCTTGCCTGTCTCCACCTAGGGCAACACCACAAGACCAACATCCAGAGAGCCCAGTTCACACAGAGCCATTGGGGATTCAAGGCAGAGAGATGCAGACTATGGATAAAGACATGGGTATACCAAAAGAAACAGCAGAGAGGGTGACTTCTGAGAGAGGGCCATTGAAGAGAGAAATCAAGAAACTACCACCAAAAAGAGAGATGTGATGGGAGAGGAAGAATTAACCAGGGGGATACAGGACAGAACAAAAACAGTTGTTAGCTAGGGACACTCAGAGACAAGAGTCAACAAAAGGTGAAAAGTACAAGTCCTGAAAGAAGTGGGAAAACTCTGAAGGTAGAAATTGTTGGAAAGAACTGACTAGGTGAAAAGCAAGGGAAAAGGTAGAAATTGAGACATCCAAGGAAGTATAAGAGAAAGAAACAGAGAAGCAGACACTTATGAGAGAAGTATTTGAGAGAGAAGTAGAAAGACTAGTATCAGAGTGTATGAGCCCTCTGGGTTAGAAGTGAAAGTACCCATGCTGGGTACTGTGGCTCCTGCCGGTCGTTCCAGTACATTGAGAGGCTGAGGTGGGAGGATTTCTTGAGCCCAGGAGTTTGAGACCACCCTAGGCAATATAGTGAGACTTCATCACTACAAAAAAAAAAAAAAAATAGCTTGGCATAGTGGCTTGAGCCTGTAGTCCCAGTCACTCAAGAAGCTGAGGCAGAAGGATTGTCTGAGCCCAGGAGGTCAGGGCTGCTGTGAGCCATGATCACTCCAGCCTGGGCGTCAGAGTGAGGCTCCTCTAGCTCCAAAAAAAAAAAAAGGGCCAGGCTCTGTGGCTCAGCCTGTAATCCTGTGCTTTGGGAGGCTGAGGTGAGTGAATTGCCTGAGCCCGCGGGTTTGAGACCCACCTGGGCAACTTGGCGAGACCTCATCTCTACAATAAATCAAAAAATCAGCCAGGCATGGTAGTGCGTGTCTGTTATTCCGGCTACTTGGAAGGCTGAGGCCGAAGGATCGCCGGAGCCCAGCATGTCGAGGCTGCAGTGGCCAGGAGTGGCCACTGCACTC